GACCGCCCGCCCCTTCTGCTCTGTCCCGGCTTCTGGACGTGCGCTGCAGAGTTTCGGCCGCGGTCCACTAGCGTGCGCAGACTGGATCGTTCCGACGGGAGCCCCTTTGCGTCGTGTAAGTGACTGGAAGTTCTCCGAGCGTGAAAAATGACCTCCAAAGGCAAATGAGAAAATGGATCCATTTAACCGGATTTTAGCGTTTCTGTTGATAAGAGCGGCAAACGTAATGGAAAAATTGAAGCTCGGCTCTCTGTAGAACTGTCGGCGTCTGTCCTTGGCAAGGTTAACGTCTTCCAGTTTGATTGCGCGCCGTGGCCTTTGTGACACGCGCGGCCCGAGAGGCTGATGTCGGATCCATTGATGTCTTTGTCCGCGGAGAAATGTACAAAAACAGAGAATAATGGTGGCTTGTGGCAATATTCTAGACACATTTCCTTTGTTCGCAAAGTGTCTCATTTAACAGGCGTAATCAGCGAAGAATCATGAGAGAGTCATTCATCAGCTTGCAGATGGAGCGCATCAAATCAGGACCGTTAGTGACGGACATCAGCGGGCGACGCTTGATGGCATTTTTAATGGTCACATTCTCTGCTTCACACGTGAAAGCGAGAGCCCGCAATCAAACGTCTCTCCCTGTTCCAGAGTTCACATCCTGTTTACTTTTACATTGATTTGAGGAGCTTTGGCGCTGTCCGCTGAAGTCTTCCTCGTCCAAACGATCCAAAGCGCTTCAAAGGACCGCAATGGAAGGCAAGCGTCTCTCTTTGTCGTGCTCGTCATGTGAACAAACGGCCATCTCAGCTTAGCTCACGGCCTCCATTCCCAAGAAGATTCCAAATCTCTATTAATCCCCCTTTTTTTTTTTTTTTGCAGAGGTGGGGGGTAGATTTTAGTTAAGATATTTGCATTTCTCCTCTAATGTGAAAATCACATTTCTTCTCTTATCAGGTTTGGCCAAGCTAGCTGTAGAGCAGGTACTGCTGAACATCTAATTGAATTCCGCCAGTGCAAATCTCATATGGCATTATGCTAAGTTGGACACACACGCCTGTGGTATGAATGGTACACTTTTGATAACAGGCCCCAACTCTCATACCGCCCACAAAACACTCTCTCCGAGCCAACGCGATGTGCTTTATAAATGACACGATACATATCTCCCCTCAAACAGTCCCGTATTTTGTGCAATTTTCTTTCTTAAAAATATCCAAGATTATTTTCACTCGGAATGCAGTTTCTTGATTTATAAACGTGTGTACATAGACGTGTTTGTTTTACATGATTATGGAGAAGCGAAATTCAACTTGAGGGGCCGACTTTGTCACAAACACACCCCGGGGAGGAAAATCAAGCTAATCGCAGCAACGCATAAATGCAAGTTTCTGGAAATGAACAAGTGCAACTGGAGAAGATTTGATGACAAAAGTGTTTCAAATTTTCCGACGTGTTGAAAATCCTGGAAAGCCCTGGAAAACAAAGCGATATTTTGCAGACATTTATGAAGGGATGACTGGATCCTAGAAGATTACAGACACGTGGAGTTGTGTCATGTTTGGGGTAAGATGCAAACTAGTAAAAAGCACTTTAACTGGGAAGACTTTCTCTGTCGCCAGATCAACCATCTCACAAGCATAACCATTAAAATTTTATGGGCAAAGCAAAAACCAAAGGAAAATTAATATCAGTCGAGCTACTGCACCCAAACGGTCTCAGTGTTTCCACTGATGACAAGAGCGCAACATTTCATGTTTGTTAGCTTTCTTTAACACTGGTAATGTCTACTCGGCTCGGGCCAGCTATGACGTCGACACGTTTGATTTCACGTCACACGAACATAAGCGAGCTTTAAATCAACACGCACACAAACTTGTCCGTGTTATCAAATACGGTTTTTGTTTCCTGGTAATAAAGGTTTTCTTTGAGCATGAGTCTTGGATGCAACGTCTGTAACATATGAGCAGTATTAGATGATGCCAAATAGGTGATCGTAACTTGGGGTCGCCATGGCGACGCCATAGCCAGATTTCGCTTTCTCATGACACGCCACTGGGAAATCCAACATGTGATAATCCGGATGCGGGGTGAAGATTGGTTGGTTGGTCTGGATATAGAGAACTCGGTCTGGAAGTTGATAACAACCCCCAAAAAAAAGAAAGTCATATGGATAAACATGTTAAGGCTTTTTAATGCTGGAAAAATATTTTATTGTACCATAACATTTATTCTTTGGTATTCGGATGACGTTCCATAATTTTTTATTTTTTTTTGCTTTCACTCCAAACATTGTGTAACTTTGTGGATTTTTAATCATGTGAGTTTTTTCTCAAGTGACTTATGTATTAACTCCACCCCTTTCCCAGTAGTTTAAAGTCTCTCACAGTCCAGATGAAATGTTACTTGACTGTTGTCCACAATCATGTCAATTTGTTTACAACATAATACCTTTTATGTTCATTTCAATTGCTGACTTGGAAGTCACATTCAACTTTTTTTTTTGTTTCGTACTGAATAAACGATGTGAAGTCCAGAAAATGTGGGTCTTTGTTTTTTTTTGGTTTACTTCCACGACACCAAAATAATTGACACTGGAAGAGATGAATTTTAGTGATTCAAAATGCAAACAAAGCAAATGGTGGATCACAAAAATCGACTGGATTATCATCGAGCTTCGAGGTTCTCCTGTATTTGAAATTCCTTTTCAAGATTCTCATAAAGTCAGTCTTGATTAAAGGCCGAAAGTGTGACTAAGACGTTTGCATTCGTCGCTGTAAGATAACAATCGAAAGCAGTCGGTCTCACATCTCACATTCAAAGAGCAATGTGACTCGAAGCTCATCCTTTCCATTGCTTTTTAAAATTTTTTTGGAAAGAATTTCTCCAATCATATGTTTTCAAAAACATCATTTAGCATCTGGAGGTTTTCCCGTAACCCCGGCAGATTAGTTTTCTCTGCAGCTGACAGAAAGAGGAGAAAAATGTCAGAAATACGAGAAACGGCGTAACAACTGGCTTCATGCGGAACCGAATCCTTTAATGTGTTGTTTTTTAACGGCTTGCCAAAGTAGTTGAGGAAGAATGTGTGCTCGCTCTAAGATATTAATGTGTGTGGGGAAGTTCAGGGGACATTGTTTTTTTAACACATTTATTTATTTTATTTTTTTTACCGAATCCTTCCTTCATTTAACTTTGGTCTGTTGCATCCAGTCAAGAGCCAACAATTGTGTCTGGTGGAAACAATATACCCTATAGTGCATCTGTGTGTTGATGTCTGCGTGTTAGTGCGTGCGTAAATGTGTGTGTGTGTGTGTGTGTGTGTGTGTGTGTGTGTGTGTGTGTGTGTGTGTGTGTGTTGTGTGTGTGTGTGTGTGTGTGTGTGTGTGTGTGTGTGTGTGTGTGTGTGTGTGTGTGTGTGTGTGTGTGTGTAGATAAAAGTGTATACAGATATGGTGTGTGGCAACGACTCCGATGAGAAATTAAGTTAATTCAAGCCCCACGATTGTAATAGAGATGCAGAGGACATCTTTGGACATCTGCAAATGTTTTGCAGGAAGCCATGCTGCAGTCAGCCCTCATTTCCTTTTCCATGTACACTCACATGCACGCACGCACACGCACACACAAATTCCACAAATAAAAAAATGATACACATCCCCTTTGCAGAAATTTCACATGCCCAAAGCGGGCACAGGGGACAAGTGGCTATTGAATATTAACCATGAAATTACAAAAGCTGCATTCTAATGAAGGTGATGAGGTCAGACGCTGGGATGGAAATCATAAATTAATACTCATCTCATGACAAGTCACTCGCCCTTGGCTCACGCCAAAACACACCTCTCCCCCTCCCCTTACTCCGTCGCTGGAGTCGAAAAAGACACAGAGTAGAAGAAATAATCGATTCATTATTAATATCAGGTCACGGCGGCCATTGAATGTGCCTGATAGTGGTCACATGTGACACTTGTACGTGAAGAAAACAATGTAACCTCGGTGTGTCGCGACAGCTTTGTTGGTGGCGTTTTTTAAGGGCCTCGACGACACTGTCAACGATTTGTCAACCTGCCTAATTCATTCTTCCTGTCTATCTTTGCCTCGCTGACATTTCCTGAAGATGACTGGAAGTGACTTTTAAGGCATATGAGTACATACATGCGTGCGCTGTGTGGTAACGCATGTGGTGACTGTGTTGGAGGCGGATGGAAACCATGTGTTTGACTATTGATACAACATATACCATGGTGTCTTGAGATATGAATGAATCAAAATACAGTGGTACCTCTACTGACAAACGTCTCTTCATTCTAAATGTTCAAGTTACGGTCAACAGGAAAATATTGCCTTTTGTTATGAAAGAAATTTCAAGATACGAAAGGTAAAAATACAGTCTGGGCTGCTCGTCGCAGCTCCGAGTTTCCTGAACGCAACATACTTATAGCTGCTCTGCCACTGGCTATTACCGAGCATAATCCTGGCATCCCATTGGCTAAGAGGGACCTCTCCTGTATGTGTCTATTCTGCGTCCTCATCCTTCCCCCCTCGGGCCGTGAGGCGTTCCGACAGTTTTACGTAAATGTGAATCACATAGAAAAATTGTTCACCAGTCGGGCGATCGCTCACTATCCTGATTTTTGCCTTGGACATTTTCGAAGGATTGTTAAAAGCCTACAAAAGCAAACGTCCTTGGATCAGTTCTTTACAAAACGCCAGGCAAAAACCACTTCTGAGAGAGAATGTGAACTAAAGAGGGCAAAAAAAAAATTAAACGCAGTTAAAAATTAAATGACGATCATTTTTATTCTTTATTTTTTACATGATGCACAACTCTCATTGATTGTGCATTCATCTAATTGTATTTGTTCACATCTTTCGGCATGATGTTAAACGAAGTTCTTTTTAATGAAATAGCGGTGCCCCTTAAAATAAAAAAAAAAAATAGTCTTATTTTTACAATTGGTTAAGCATGTAAACATTTTATGGTAATTAAAACATGGCTTCTGCCATGAACATTTCCATGACTTCCTGTGGAGAAATGTGATTCTATATTCCAACACCCCCATTTGGTGTTTGACCTTAAAGGCGCCGCCATCAATGCAATAGCGGCGATTCGGGGGGGTCACACCAATGTGGTGTCAGTAATTACGTTCATTTGACCCAAAAATGTTTGCAAATGTTGAATTGCATGCTCCGCTGTGCAGTCAGGGGAAGGCGTGCCAGACTATGAGTCAGTCCTTACAAAGAAACACTTCTTCCTCCTGCATGGCTTCATGTCAGCCAGAGGAAACAGGAGATTGTGGTTGCAAACTACAGTTTATCATGACTTTTGTATTACACATCAAATTTGTATGCGAAACAAAGCCCCGTATTCACATCATTTGGGTTTGGGTTAATTCTCATGAAGTCCAATTAAATCGACTTTTTTTTCTCAAGATTGAACGCAGTGTTCACTCAATACTGTCAACTTTTCTTACACATTCTGCCTTCCCGATGATGCCCGACAGGCTTTTTTACAAGCTGAAGCGGAACTAAATCGCGGCGAGTAGACAAGCTTGGATCCATGACAAAAATGTGTGTCGACTGGATCGAGTTACTGCCGCTGCAGAGCTACTGAGGCAACCGCAAGCCGGTGGCTTTTCATGAAAAGCGCACGCATACACACAAGCGGACAGACACACAAGCAGCGGGCCGAGAGTGGGCGGAGCAAGCCGGATGACCATTTGTGTGTGTGTGTAAAGTCTTCGGTATCAAATACCATCAGATGTGGGTTTGACGTAAGAAGAATGAAAAAGGTTCCTACAGCTGCTCACAAGTTCTGCTGGCTCTGGAGGACAGATCTGGTGTATTTTATCTTCAGAGCAGCTCCTCCCTCTCAATACGTGATGTTCTCCTTGCAAATATCCAGTCCCCGCAAGGTTGAACAACAACCATATGTCTTCCTTACAAGACAGTGACACATTGATTCGCCGAGTGAGCTCGATGCCGATTCTCTGACAGC